GCGGTGGCGAGCAAGGAGGAGGGTGGTGGACCGGGGCCTGGCCCGTGGCTCCACCGGGGCCGCGCCGTCCTTCAGCGAAGCCTCCGTGAGACTGCCCCTGCGGTAAACACCGCCGGGTGCTCCAGGGAGAGCCGTGTGGGACCTCTCACCGTGGGGGGCCGCGGGCCGCAGCCCGGCCTTCCCTGGGCCGCAGCCAGTTACTCCCCACGCCTCGTGGAACGTGTGCATGAAGGAGTAGGGGTCTGGGTAATCTCAGCGCGGCTGCGTGTCCTGTCAGCACCTCACGATCTTAATCCTTTTCTCTCCTTAATCCCCAGATGAGCTGAGAAACGTTGGCCAGAGGAAGGTGGAAGGTGCTGGGACGAGGCCTCGAGTGTCCCAGGCTCGCCCCTGACCGCACCCTCGCCCCCACGAGAGGTTCGCCCCTACCCCCGGTTTGGCCCCAGCAGAGGTTCACCCCATGTCAGCCATTGGCAAGCCGTGGCGCAGTGCTCCTAGCCTGACCGGCAGCCCGACTCCTGTCTGCAGGCCCCTCACGTGCTGTCGGGGGACAGCGAGGTCAACCCACCGCTCTCCTACCTCAGCTGGGCTCAGTGCTGGCGATATCTCAACGAGTATAACGGCCCTCCATGCAGCTGCCCCAGAAGATGGAAGAGGAAGGAAGTAAGCCTTAAAAAAAAATATGTTTTGAGCAGTTCTTGTGGGAAACTTTTCTAGGAATCGGTAGTCTATACATAACCTCTTTTCCCAGTCAACCAAATTAAATTTCTGTACAGAATGAACCATCCCTGGCTTACTTCAGGGCCAGGCTGGATGAAGCTTTGAGCAGCCTGGTCTAGTGGAAGGTGTCCCTGCCCATGGCAGGGGGGTTGGAACTAGATGATCTTTAAGGTCCCTTCCAACCCAAACCATTCTGTGATTCTATGACTCTTTGGAAGTGGGATGGCTGTCTGACCAAAACACTTTCTCACACAGTGCTCCCACTGCAGTATTTACTTGTATAAATTTTGAAGAACTAAGTAGCTACAACCATTTTAATTTCTCACCTGATCTCTTACTTGTCCGTTATGCACCTCTTGCAGTGCTGTGCAACTGCTTTGGAGTGTAGAACCTTAGCAGTTCCAGGGAGGAGAGGATTGAAGGTAGTATGATTTGGATTTGTTGGGGGAAAGAGAAGGTATTATATAGTTGGCACCACTTCTAGTGTGAAAATGACAACTGAGAGACAGTAGTTTTGCCTTTTATGGAGTATGTGTAAGACAATAGTCAGCAGCACTACAGATCCTTTTTAGGAAGCACGCACCCAAGTATATTATCTGGAATCTGCCATAAGTAGCCCTGGCCTTGGCTGCTTGTTTCTTGCTCTAGCATCATTCCCCTGCAGACAGCTGAAAAAAGATATATATATGGCCATAAGGGCCCTATAGAGGGAAAAGAAAATCCTTCCAGAGGTAGTAGCCTCAGCCAGGTTTAGAACTATTGCCACCAGATGCCCTGAGTCATCAGCTGGTGAAATCATTTTGAATGCTGACTAGGTAGGTGCATCCTGTGCCTGCTCATTCCCTGTCTGCCTGGCTGGGGTTGACAATAGCAGCATTAACACTGGAGAGGAGATTAGTGATGTGGGCATCTGTCTTTTTTGAAATGAAAATTATATTATGAATATACACAATCTTTGCTTCTCAGTGCAAGACCCAAGTTTTTGCTGCTGGATTTTAGGGCACTCCATTGTGAGGGTTGGGGAAGCATTTCCAAGGTGAGTGGGTTGAGCACTACACGTAGTCATACGTGTTTTATTTCCTGTTGGCTTACACAAGAATATAACTGATGGCTCAGAAATGACACACTGTTATGTCACCCGTCCTCTGAAGTGATCTATCCACCGGTGCTATCCAGACTTAGTGAATGTATGGAAATACCTGAAAGCAGGTAAGAAATAAGGACAGCAGTTTTAATCAGTGCTGGGACTTCTTACTAGAATTTCTGAATGTGTATTTTTAAACACAGGTATTGAATATACTTATGTCTCAATATTTTAAATGCATGATACTGCACAGCAAAAGGGTAGGAATGGCCTTGGACAGATGTTGTCTCTTGGAGCAGTAGCGTAGGTTTCCAAGAAGGGTGGACCTTTTTTTTTGTTAATGGGACTGACGTTGCCACTTTTTTTTTTTTTAATTTCTGTGAATATAAAAGCTCAGGAAATTATGTGGAGAGTTAATGCCAAATCAGTTGTTTTACAAGATAAAGTACTTTCAATATTGCCCGTTGATTGTAAATATGCTCTTAGCTGCTGGTGTCATAAGCAACCTGGGTTGTGGTGACAGGCAGATGTTACTTTCTTCACTGCTGTCATGCCACTCTTGAGAGTAACCATAAACTCTGTACTGCCATGGGCCACTTAGTTTCTGGTATCTTGAGCAACAGAAGTCATTCTCTGCTAGTTTCTGGTATCTTAAGCAACAGAAGTCATTCTCTACTAAAAAATGAAGGAAATACTTTTTTTTCTAGCACGCAGGATTTCATGACTGCTGTCGCTACAGCACGTTTGCCAGCCATGATTTACTCTCTGAAAGCGGAATGTAAACCTAGGATGGTGATAGTGGACTCAGCCTCTAGGAATGAAACAGGAAAACAGATCTACTTACTATTTTGTGCTTAATCACTGGAGAAACGTTAACCATGAGAGACAGTCCGTTCTCTTTTCCGACACACTGAACCATATTCCCTTTTCAGAGACCCTGCCAAAGGTACACTGCTGATGCTTTAGCAGGAGCTTTCATGAATGGGCTTAGTACCTCAAAGGTACATACACTTGGAAGAGAAGAGGCTCTGAACCAGTAACTTAAAAAACATTTCTTTAAACAAAATGTTCTTTATAAATATTTTTGGTGAAGGAAGCAGGCACGACATAAAGGCTTTATGAATTACTGCAGCTGCTATCACTTGGTGAACAAAATTTGCTAAGCTGCTTTTATCTGAAAATATTTCAAATGTTTTTTCTCTAGGAAACATACCAAAAATATTGATGGGACAGGATAGTCAGCTTGTGCAGCTAGGGGAGGTTATAGCTACAAAAAAAAATTCCAAATGCCTTTATTAAATAAATAATATGTTCAGTTGAAAATGCTCTCCTGTATCACTTCTGTAAATTTGAGTGGTGATTGATTTACAGTGGGACTGATTTGTTGGTGTTTGGAGAAAGGCTTCCACATCACCCTTTGTAGACATGCTTGAAAAGTTACTTGAAGGAGCATCCTGGGCTGTCAGAAGCTGCTCCAGTTCATCACTTTACTTGTGTTTCACTTTCATGATTAGGTTTAGGAATAGAATTCTGACGGTTTAAGCCTATGACAGCTGTCCTGGCTGTTGTTTTCAGGAGTGCCTCCCAGTGAAATGAATGGGAGCCTTTGAAAAGTCCACTCGGAGCTACTCGTGTTTTTGGACTTCTTGGGAGCTGTCCAGGCTTATAAACGCAAGTTTGCCTTTCAGGTGATGTGAAGGCGTTTTGGACACAGTTGGGAGGTAGAAGAGTGGACGTCATCTTCGAGCAGGTGCAAAACGTGCTGCTGTTGCTAAAGCAAAAGATCAAGAATGGAACTGCCACAAACGAAGGTTTGAAATCCTTGTAACAGTTGAGCTGGACTGCAGGGGAGCTGTGGCCTGCTTTGTGTAGGGCTCTGTGATACCTGCTACAACTCAGATATCTCTGACTTTAAATTACTTAGCAGTTGGCGGTTTTAAACACGTTTAAAAATACACCTGCTTTTTAAAAAGAGACTAATAATTTCAGGTGCATTTTGCCACTTTCTTGTTTTGCCCGTGTACTTTTTCATAGAATCATAGAATGGTTTGGGTTGGAAGGGACCTTAAAGACCATCTAGTTCCAACCCCCCTGCCATGGGCAGGGACACCTTGCACTAGACCAGGTTGCTCAAAGCCTCATCCAGCCTGGCCTTGAAGACATCCAGGGATGGGGATGTCTTTTCAAACCATGTGTGGCTCTTAAGCTCACAGAACTGGAAAGTTTATTCTTGAGAAGTAAAGAAATTTCTGCAGTGCCTCGTGTTTTGTTTATCATCAGGAGTTTTAGCCTTTCAAGCTGATCTCGGTGATCTGAATCGCTTTGGGGTGGGATTATAATCATAAAAGTATTATTTCATGATAGAGACACTGTCACAACTAGAGACGTTAGCAGAAAAAAGTGATGGCAGTGCATTTAAGGTTGTTGCAGATTTTCATGGAAGTAAGTTTCCTTTATCTACATCAAAATCGAAAGTCTGAGAATCTTGGAGCAGTAGTCAGGTTTCTTTGTACTGGTTTATTTAATTCAGAAAAATTACTCTGTTTTTTATGAAGTCACCAGTGTAAATGCAATGTATGGATCTTAACCGTCTTTTTTTGTGCAAGAAAATGTACAGTAGCATAAGATGCTTTTAAACTGGTACAGCCACACGCTCTGCATTGTACCGCTTGCTCTAAATTGGTAGCGCAATTTTATGTGTACTTGAGCTCCCACACTGTGAATTTTATGACAAAATAGTACAGCAGTGCACAGATAAAAGTTGAACTGGAATCCCCAGATGACACAATGGATCTGTGACACAGTTAAATCTGAATTTTTCTATGTTTGGTTTTGCAAAGATTTCAAACTGAAATATTGTGGATTTTGCTGTCATTTGTCTGCCACCTCGTAATATTTATTGCGTGGGGTAAGAGGTTGAGACAGAGCTGGTCTCTTCTTTGTGTTTTTACCCTCTGAAAGCCATTTCAACCAATTTATGAGTAGCATTAATTTGGTCTGCCAAGATCCAGTCCTTCTCAGCAAGAAGATGACTACTTTGATGACAAAGCAAAGAGTCACTAAACTGTGTTCATGTATATTACTGCCACAGGAAGCTGCTGGTTTGTGTGCCTTCGGAAACACTCCAGCAGCTTTCCAAAAGCCAGAGGATATTTGGTGCTGATTCATAGCTACTGATACGAGCGCTAACTTTATTGTGATTTGTAGATGTGTCTGTTAAGGACTGTGGTGCAAAAGTGTTCTAATAGTATCAGTCTTGCAATGCCCTAGATTAGCATAGTGGGGGAACGGGTGTCTCTGGAGGACTTAGACCTTGCGGTCCCTATTGTCATTGTCCCTATTGTCATTACTTAAATTTAACTTCATATATGTTTGGTTTTTGCATAGAATGCTGGCAGGCTTGGGCACTGGTGAATGAAGCTAATCTAGCTGATCTCTTAACCAACGGTATGTTTGTCTCTACTGTATTTATTTGATATTTATTTGAATTTGTCTTGTTTTACTCGCCAAGAGCTTACTTCCCTTCATTAAAATCAGTAAAATAGCTTCAAGAAGCCTGTTAGCATTACAGGGGAAAAACCATAATTATTTGTTTGTTCAGGTACTGGACTGTGGGTTCTCACCTGGGTTTTACTTTTGTGGTGTGTGTGGCTTGTACCAAATCAAGAGAGTTTGAACTAGTAAGCACTGTTGAACCTGAGCTGGCTGCAAGCAGAGTCATCTTGGTGTGGCTCCACTAACCATAATACCCTGGCATCCTTTTACCTCAAATAACAGACACATGTGTAGATGTCTTTCATATGCATGTTGTCTCAGTGCGCTTGGAAAGCTACATGGGAGATTTTAATGTGCAAATCACCTGGTGGGCTGTGAAAAAGGGTAAAGCTTCATGGTGCGTTTCTGCCCCAACTTGGTCAATACATACCTAAGTTCCACTTTGGGGGAAGGGAGGGAGAGGAGGAGCAGGAGGGAAAGTATGAGTGTGTGATGTCTCAGCTAGTCGCTCACTTGCACACCTATGTGCAAACACATGACTTTTGAAGAATTTATAAAAAGCAGCTTCTTTTTTTAGTAGGATGCTCATGAGCATGCTGTTTGTTAGCTGTAGCTGGTAGCAATCCATTGGTTTGAATGTATTTTGGCAATTATCTTTTTAGTGACTAAAGTTAAGTTTGATTATACATTGAAATGTGGATTGCTGAAGTGTTTGCTTGTGTTCCAATTTTTTCAGGAAGCAACATGTTGGATGGAGATGGCATACAGGAAACCACACCCAAATCACAGTGTCTTCTTACAGGTGACAACGCTGCAAACTCTGTAGAAGGTTCCCACAGGTCAGTGTATTTAATAGTTTATTCTAGTTCCTCATTGGACCTATTCTTTAGTGCATTTGAGGGAGATTTTAATCTCTCTTGTGTTTCTAAATTCAACATTTTAAACCCAGTTTTGAATCCTGTCTGTTTTCAAAGTGAAAATATTTTTAACTTGACCAATATGGAAAACCTAAGGTTTTGAGTAGAGTTGTCTAATTTACCATGGGAGAACATTGCAGAATAAAACAGTGCATTAGGTTGTGCATAAAGATCCATGAGCATTACCAGGAATATCAGGGTTGGGACTTAACAGTTTTTGAGACAAGTTGTCAGGCTTTCACGGGCTGTGCAGATTGTCAGGCACATAACTTAGTCTCTCTGCGTTTAGCCTCTGGTACTGAGTTGGAAGATGGGGGTAAAGATAACTTTTTCTTATTTTGTTTTAAATAGCCTTTCTGCGTTTTAGGTCTTTCTGCGAAGAAGCTGTTGCCTTTTTTTTTTTTAAATGCTATTGATTATGTCTTCATATGATATTAGGACTGTAACACAATGTAAACAGTGATTCAGTAAAACCTGTGGCCTTCTAGCAATGGGCTGTTTCTTTCCTGTGCTAATAATATTGAACCACTAAAAAACGAGTTGTCTAAGATGCTACCCTTTTTTTAACTTTTTTTTCTTCTATTTTATTATAGCAAAAAGGAGGAGATGGAAAAAACAAGCTCAAGGAGTAAAGAAGCATCTAGTGAAATTCAGGATTTACCTTTAAACCTGGGGTTTCAGAACCACAAGTGCTCTAGTGCATGTCTTGCCAACAGAGCAATGGGCTCCTACAAGGGTGAAAATCCTCTTAAGATACCAATCCTGTTTCACTTCCAAAGACGCCATGCAAAAGCAGACTGCCTTTCGAAATCACTGGATGTGAATTACAAAGCTCCTTGCGGCCGAAGCCTGAGAAGCTTTCAGGACGTGCAAAATTATTTGTTTGAAACGGAGTGCAATTTCTTATTTGTTGATCACTTCTCCTTCAACACATACGTACTGTTGGGCAGGAGCGCCGTAAATCCCAAACCCCTTGTGTTTGAGTTTGATATTAGCAATGGAGCCGAGTCTGTGCCTGTTTCCTTCTGTAATGATCTTGACCGCGCAAGACTGCCTTATTTCAAGTACCGGAGGGCATCGTGGCCGCGTGGATATTATCTCAGGAATTTCTCTAGCATATTTGTTGATTCATGTGACTGCACAGATGGCTGCATTGATAGGTAGGTAGAAAAATTTAATCCTGGACAAGTGATACACGGTGCCTCAATAGGAGGGGGGTGGTGTAAGGGTGCAGGTACACAGTACCAAACAGTGCCAAATAACAACCAATGCTGCTGGAATATCTGTGGTTGTTGTCATGTGCCATCCCCTGTGCTGACTGACACTACTGTGTCTTTGTCTTCTCCAGAATTTGGGTGCTCCTACTCATCCAGCCTCTGTTTAGGGAAGGATGTGATCAACAAGTGGATTTATTGTGTTCCTTTCCCTGTCTTCCCAAATTGGCAGTGCTTCTCCAGGGCAGCTGCCAAGCAGATCTCTCAGCTTTGGGAAGGGAGAGTTTTGCCAGCAGAGGCGGGCTCGTTTTCCTGGCAGGCAGGGAGGGATCCTGCATGACAACTTTTGCTGCAGCTCCCTCTGTAGGATGGTATCCTAGAGATGGGATGGGACTACCTGGAGAGACCAGGTTGTTTGGAACTTATAAGTGAGAGCAGAGGAAAAAACATCCCCGCTCACAACCTCTGCATCCCATCCTTCCCCTTGTCTGAATGGAAACCATGAAGCTCCGTGGTCACAGAACACATGGTTCGAATGGTGTTGCTCATTGCTGTCTTTTTCTAAAGCCCAGTAACTCTGGGCTCCGTATTACTCTGTGGGAACCTACCACACTTAACATATGCGAGTGAGGTGATAATTTTGTACTCTTTCTTGAAGGGTGTTTGTCTTTGATGTGACCTCTGCCTGTAGGTGTTACTTGGTGTCCAATCCATTTTGTATGCCTGAAAGCTAGGGTGATTGCGTGTGCTGGTGTGCAGTATAATTGCCCCTGACCCAACAAAAGCTTGAAATCACAGCCTAGAATAATGAAGCTACAGGAATTAAAGTCACTTAGTTTTACTTGAGTGGCGGGGAAGCGCAGGCACATAGCATTAAATTTCCTGGAGTTGAAATGCTTTTGATGTGAGGTTTTGGGGTTGAGGATTTGGTCCGTTGCTGTTTGCACAAACACTGTGGGTCATTGGGAGCTATCATGACATAAGATGGTGACGGCCAGCTTTATTGTTTGAGCTCTCCACTCCAGAGCGTGATATTCTTCACTTCCTGGAGGTTAGGGCGGGAGGAAGGTGCCAAAGAAGTGGGTCACAGGCTGGGATGCCAGAACAGATGATTTTCTTTCATTCAATCAAGCTGAGTGTGTCCTGTTTATAAAAACTTTCTGGTTTACTTTGACTGTTCACATGTGCCTTTTACAGAGCTTGGCAGGAGAATGGAGTTGGGGTGGAGAGAACATGATTATTGTAAAGCACATATAACCAGGCAAGAGACAGAGAGAAGGGTAGGATGCCTGAAATGGCCTTGCAGAATAAAAATGGGGTGTGGGGAAATACAGGTATATATAAAGGTTGTGTGTGTATACTCAAGTATGTTTTAAATTTTCTAGATTTATATTTGATTTATGCTGCCGCAAATACATTTTGAGATGTTTTCACTGTTATTTTTTTAGGTCAAAATGTGCATGCTTACAGCTAACTGCAAAAGGCCGTAGTAAAATTTCTCTGTCTCCAAGTAGTAAAACATCCCGTGGATACAGTTACAAAAGACTGGAGGGTCCTGTTCCTAGTGGGTAAGAAAGACCAAACTATTAGCTGTTATTTTATTTTGTATGCTCTTATTTTACTCCCGTAATGTAAGTGCTACAGGACTGAAATAACTGAAGTTTCTGGACTACTGAAACCTTCAGTAGTTGTCACGATTTTACTGATGGATCAGGATGATTAAACAATTAATATGACTTGTGTAATAGGAGGAGAAAACCACTTTTGTACTGCAGATAGCATAATTTTCACAGCTTAGCTCAAGGTCCAAGAGGAGCATGAAGAGTACCAGTATTAGCTGGTCCAGGAGCTCAGGCCATGTCTGGCTCATGCTGGTTCATTCGGGCATGCCGAGGGGAGAAGGGAAGCAAACCTGCCACAAGAGAAGAAGCTCTGTCACAAGACCATCACAGCCAAAGAAGTGGGGAAGCAATAGCCACCCTTGATTTTCGCCCTGTATTTTGTCCACCCATTTGCTCTGTAGGACCAGAGTCCTAAAGGAGTTATCAGCCAGCTGCTGTTGCCATACTTGGTTATGTATGAATCTTCCAAGGGTCTCCAAAGCTGTCCCAGTGCTGCAAGTGTTCTTTCCCTTTCTCTTATTCAGCTCCTGTGGATTACTGTATGGCCTGGGGAAGGTGCCAGTAACCTCAGGTGTTCAGGAGAGGAGTTGTGCAAGGTAGCTTTCTGCAGTAGCCAAGGGCTGAACCCACAGGCTTACAGAGCCCCCTTTCAGTCCTTTGTTGCTGTGTGATGTTAGTTTATGCCTGACGTGCAGAATTAAAGCTGCCAGTGAACCCAGAAACAAATGCAGAAAAAGCCCAATTGTGAATTCTTTTAGAAATAATTTTGTTACATCCTAAAACTCTGGACAGCTACAGCAAGTTCCAAGCAGACAGGTTGTCTTTGCTAAAATGTGTTCCAGCATAGAATGAGGTGCTTCATAACAGCTGGAAGGAGTCCAGAGGAGGCCACGAAGATGCTCAGAGGGGTGGAGCACCTCTGCTCTGGGGACAGGCTGAGAGAGTTGGGCTTGTTCAGCCTGGAGAAGAGAAGGCTCCGGGGAGACCTTACAGCACCTTCCAGTACCTGAAGGGGCTACAAGGAAGCTGGGAGGGACTTTTTACAAGGGCCTGTAGTGACAGGACAAGGGGTAACGGGTTTAAATTGAAAGTGGGGGGGTTTAGATTGGATATCAGGAAGTTCTTCCCCGAGAGGGTGGTGAGGCACTGGAACAGGTTGCCCAGAGAAGCTGTGGATGCCCCATCCCTGGAAGTGTTCAAGGCCAGGCTGGATGAGGCTTTGAGCAACCTGGTCTAGTGGAAGGTGTCCCTGCCCATGGCAGGGGGGGTGGAATTAGATGGTCTTTAAGGTCCCTTCCCACCCAAACCATTCTATGATTCTATGATTTCCGCTTCTGTGTGATTTACTCCTATAAAATAAAAGGGGAACATTTATTTTTCTTGCCTACTTATACCAAAATATGGCTGACAGACTCTTAAAATTGATGAATCGGCAATCAAGAAAGTCATGAGCTTCAGATCACTGCTGCACAATCAGTTTTAGTCAGAGTGTCTGTCTTTTCAGTCAACTGCCTTATTAATGCTCAGGAGGGAAATTAGTAATAGCAACTTGGTTTTGGTAATGCATTCTTTTATATTGTGTTTTGTTTTGCTTCCTCTTGACAGAATTTATGAGTGTAGTGTGTTGTGCAGGTGTGACAAGATGATGTGTCAGAACAGAGTTGTACAGCATGGTATTCAAGTCAGGTTGCAGGTGTTCAACACGGAGAAGAAAGGTTGGGGCGTCCGCTGCCTAGATGATATCGACAAGGGGACATTTGTTTGTACTTACTCAGGTAACAGAAGGTGTCCCGTGGAAGATGTATAGCATAATTCTCCCTTTCCTGTGCCCTGGAATTGGTTTTGCGAACCAAAGAGGGAAATACGGGGTTGGAAAGGAAGTGGGTCAGTAGAATCTTAACTTGCAGGATGATCAAGCGGGCAGAAGGACCTTGAGGAACTGTGCAATGCAGTGGTGCCAGACTGACAGTCAAAACAGTCGGGAGCAAAGCCTATGCATCCTGTGCCGGGGCTAGTTTTTCTTCAGTATAAATGCATTCATATTTTGCTTTCCAAATAATGTTCTTGTATTTTTTTAATGTAAGTTTGAGACCTGATAGTGAGTGTGACCCATCTTGGCAAACAAAAAAATTAAAAAGAAAAAAAAAAATCTTTTTCTTCCAGGCAGATTAATGAGCAGAGCTGAAGTTCAGTTATTGGGAGATGCTGGTCAAGGGCTGAAAGAGAAGAGTGCTGCTAATGACAGAAGCCATGGCTTTTTTTCCAAAAAAAGAAAACTTGACGCTGATGTTTCAGACGACTCTGTGACTGAACTCGTGCAGACTGGCAAAAATGGTGTTCTTGGGAAGCAGGAATCTTTGTCTCAGACTGTGGATAATGAAAATAAATCAACCCTGTAAGTTTACCAAAGCAAACTTAAGCATAACAAAACTAATATTCCCCTATTCTAGAAGCTCCTTTGTAAAATATAGAGTAGAACTGAATGTTCTCAGCTGAGGGTGGGTTTTTTTAATTTCTCAACTTTTTTGTTAATTCCTGATTATTTCTTCTGGTGGGACAGAGTTTTTTTTTCTCTATATTAATTTTACTTACTGTGTGTACCACTTGGCTTTTTCTAGAAATCCAGTTAATCTCCTGGGTGTACCTGATCTGTTCAGGGCATAAATTATTATGCTGATTTGAAAGAATTAATAGAAGATACTTGAGATAAATGATTTAAAGATACTTGATGAGACTGAAGGGTTTGATAACAAATTGGCCACTAACTGTCCCATCCTTTGCTTCATGTCTCTAAACATCTTGTTCTTTGTAACACAACCTTTCCTGCTAGGAGTCTTAACTTTTCCCATTAGGAGTCTGACAACACCTCACTATTTGCAGTGAATTCAGCAGAAGTTCTGGTCCTGTTTTGATTTTACAGTAAGGGTCTCATGGCCTGTCAGAATTCCTAAAATAAAATTATTGCAAAATGACCATGTGGCTTGGTCTGTAGCAGGTGTCTTTTCAGAAGGCAGTCAGGAGCTGGTTTTCTTAAATTTTATTCCATGCTCTGCCACGCTACTTTGCAAACACTTTCTTTCTGCTTCTCATGAATGATTGCAAATTTTTGCTCGTTTCATAGTAGAAGATTATTGTGGATTTTTGAGGAGGACCATGGAGCTGCAAATGGAAACTTCTTTAAACACCTGCCAGTATATCCATTTCAGTATCTTGGAGACCTAATGAATTCATGATTTTGTAAATTATGTAATTATCAGCAACTGGCTAGATGTTACTTCAAAGTGCTGTTACTAAAAATTGCAGGGAAGCACCGTTTTAAAGTTGTGTTTACTGCACTGCTACCTTAAATCTCATAACTCTCCTTTTCTGAGAATAAAAACGTGCCTCATGTGGGCTGCATGGAAAAAAACAGGACAGATTATTCCGCCTCATAAGAAATGACAATCCAGCTGAACTGAGAAGCCTTTCAGAGGACATCAGTGTGCTCAGCTTGACATGTCATTCAACCGAACAGGACAGCCAATGGAATCGTGTGATAATGTCGCAGCTTCTTGGGCCTACATCTCCTTTAGAATTTACAAAGGCTTTTAAATCTTAAGAAAGCCTTAAAGAGCAGCATTTGTTGCCATTATCAGTAGCCCAAAGAAGTGCCGTGGTATTTTTTTTTTGTGGCAAGAAAACACATATAAATGTTTTACACTGCAAGTTTTCTTGAACAAGAGCTGTTACATATTGCTAGACATCGTACAGGTATTAAGCTTCGTTTTGAAACTGATGTTTTCTACTACACTCTGAGCATAATCAGAATGAATGTGATTTTTAGATGTTTTAAATGTAAATGCCAGATACTACTTCCCATCCTTCCTCAACGTTCTCCGGATGTGAAGGAGTAAGGTGCTTTTGTGGGAGAGTATTTTCTTTATCTGCCATATATTGCCTGTCTCCCCCACAACATCTTTGCTTTCCTGTTTGAAAGCCACACAGTCAGAACTGTTGACAGCAGTAGCAGGAACAAGGCAGAACTCTCTGGGTAGGTGCTCTTATTTTGGGATGATCTGAGATAGTAGTAAAACAGCAGAGCATTTGTTTCTCAGCAGGAGAACTGGGAAAGGATGTGAAAGCAGCTGCTGGGCTCTCAAAAAAAAAAGTATGAGCAACTGTTTGTTTACAAATATTATTGATAACCTAACCTAGGTCCTCAGTTCTTAAAGGCAAAATAGTCACAGACGTTGGGGCAAGGCCAGACTGCAGGCTCTGGTGTAGTCTGTTCTTTATGCACTAAAGACTGTTAGTGAAATGTGTGTTGGGAGAGTTACTTAGGGGTCTTTTTGCCTTTTATAATTTCCTTTTGACCTTTCTGTACAGGGTTCATCCAAGGAATTTAAGTATCGCAACTGTGAGAAGGCCTGGAAGTAGAACAGTTGTTTTTCATAAGCACCAGCTAAAAATGGTAATAACTGCCTTTAATAGATTAATTTTTTGCTGTGCTGAACGTGTATGTTAACTTTGACCTTTTCATCTTGCGCACCTAAATAGTTGTAATGATCTTTCTTCATGAGCTTGTGTCACACTGAGGTGAGCTGGCGTACTGGAAGCTGTACCCCATCCCTTCAGCATGATTAGCCCTTCAATGTGTTCCCTGAGACCAGCACTAACTACTCTTGCAGCCTTCCCTTCTCTACCCTTCCCTTCCCTTACGCTCCAGCCTCAAGAAATCTTTCTCCCTCTCCATCCCCTCTTGTAATTAACTGCAGGGTTAGGGCGTCAGAGTGATAATATTTTTGTGATGTCTCCCGAAAGAATGACATAGCAGGGAGAGAAGAAAATCTCAGGAGTTGGATGCAGTTTTCTCCTGCAGTGGCACAGCTGGGAGAATTCGATCTGACCTGAGTGGGAAGTGTTGCCTGCAAATACGTGCAAAGGAGGGAAACGGGGGTAAACTTCCTCTGTAGGTTTCTCTGCAGTTAAGGAATGCACGTGGGATTTTCGTGCTAACATTTGGCACTGCTGTGCATTCTGGAGCTCCTGTAACTAATTGTCTTTTTGTGGTGGGAGAGGAGAAATCCTGCCACGTGTTCGTTTTATTTAAACCCTGTAAAAAACGTGTTTGGGCTTTGGTTCAGCAACTTACACAAACACATTTAAGTTCTGGTGACATCATTTGGACTTATTTAAATGTTTTATTGAGCATGGAGCTCCTTCCAGGTTATTCTGAAGGATGATTTGAAATTAAGCTAAATGTTGCATTGCAGTGAATGTGTGAACTTTTGAAACTCAGCCACAGCTGTGCATTACAGTAGGTTTTAAACTTCAGCCCTGGAGTCCTAAAAGCCACTTGCTATCCTGTGCTGACCAAAAGTTGCATACAGCAATGATACCTCACAGCCTTTTCATTATCTTTTATTCTGTTTAAAGGAATTGGTGCACAGTGCCAGCTCAGATGAAGAGAATTCTCAGAGTCATCAGTCAAACAAACCAAAACTAACCAGTGCAACAAAGAAAGGAAAAGAAAGTAGGTTTGCAGAGCTATAAATACTGCACTCTTACTACACTTGTGCCCCGCGAGGTGATAGACTTAAAATGTAGCAAATGACCTTTGGATTCGGGCAGGCCTGTTCTCAGAGTAGAGTGATGTTGCCCACATAATGCTTAGGCTGTCTTAAGAGAGCTCAGCAGTACAGAAATTATTGCTGCTCTGCATATATTAATGTCTTACAGTGCATTAACTGGTACAGGGCAATCTTTTGCCTGCAAAGTTGATCTCGGGGCATGTTGAACAGTCCTGACAGCAGCTTCTTATACACGTTGCAGTTGTGGGAAAGTCAGTCTTGGAAATCTTAGGGTGTCACACCCAATTCATTTTCCAGTCATCAACAATTGAACAGGATATAATGCGGGGGTGGGGGGCCTCAAGCTGCAGAGGCAGAGTGAAACTGATGCTATTGGCATGCACATCTCACTTCTGTCTTAATTATAGTTTGTGATTCTCTGAGGAGTTAAGGTGGTGGATGAGGATAAAATGCTATGTGGAAGGAATCAATCTGGAGTGGGATTTGAGAAGGAGGAGAGACTAGGTCACTTGCAGGAGACTTGAGCAAGTGCTTTCGACACCGCAGCAGTGAACAGTCATTTGCGGGAGGATTGAAAAGAGGCATGGGAAAGGGCGGTTGTGTTATAGACTTACAGACAGTGAGGAAGCTGCATTCATTTTCGAGAACAAAGGGTGGGGGGATAAGAGTTCAGCACCAAACAAGGGGAAGGTTTTGGCCTTAAACTAGCATTGAAAATAACACGTGTCCATTGACAGAATCCACTCGGCGGCAGAAGGAAGAACATCTGATGGAAATGGGACAGACTGAGTCTGCTGACATGGACAGTGCAGAATGCAAAAGAAAGAGTCTGTCTCTGCAGAGTGTTGATGGTGGCAAGTCAGGTGCACTGGATGGCACATGTGGTGTGAGGCCATCCAAAAATGTGCCACTAAAAGCTGACTGCAAACAGGAAAATCACAGGCAGTCAAAACAGGACACATTTTGTGAGGAAGCTGATGGTGTCAAGACGCTTCTGAAGAATGCTAATGAAGAACATGTTTATATACTGGATGCCACAAAAGAAGGAAATGTGGGTCGTTTTCTTAATGTAAGTAAAAAGTTGCATGTGTTTTCTTAGCTGTCTTCAATAAATGATACTTTTACACAAACTAGAAGGCGTTTGCGCATACACCACATAGGCGGTAGGCAGGCTTTGTGGTGCTCCCTGCACTCCTAGAAGTGACAAAGCAGCAGCTTGGGTCACACTGAACGTTAGTGCTTCCGTAAGATGATGCATTCAGTGTACTAGCTGTACTTCTTGGCACCACTGGGTTCCAGAGTGAAATATTCCCCAGTAATGAGTGACATCTTCCTCCTGAATTTTTGAACAACCTTTTTTTGAGGTCCAGAGAGAAAATGCAACATTCTGTTGCACAGGTCTTTTCCCAGCCTCATCTTTTGTTCCCAACCATTATAAATTCTAGCTGGTGCTGATTATCGACCGGTTGGAGTGAGTCCAGAGGAGGCTGCAAAGGGGATCAGAGGGCTGGAGCACCTCTGCTATGGGGACAGGCTGAGAGAGTTGGGCTTGTTCAGCCTGGAGAAGAGAAGGCTCCGGGGAGACCTTGTAGCACCTTCCAGTACCTGAAGGGGCTACAAGGAAGCTGAGGGGGGACCTTTTACAAGGGCCTGTAGTGACAGGACATGGGGTAATGGGTTTAAATTGAAAGAGGGAAGATTTAGATTGGATATCAGGAAGAAGTTCTTCCCGGAGAGGGTGGTGAGGCACTGGAACAGGTTGCCCAGGGAAGCTGTGGATGCCCCATCCCTGGGATTGTTGAAGGCCAGGCTGGATGAGGCTTTGAGCAACCTGGTCTAGTGGAAGGTGTCCCTGCCCATGGCAGGGGGGTTGGAACTAGATGATCTTTAAGGTCCCTTCCAACCCAAACCATTCTGTGATTCTAGGATTCACAATAAACATTGTGCTGCTGTAGGAAATCTCTCTACCATTCAATCATTGGTTCAGAAAGTGGTCTGTCAAACTGTGTACGTATCTGCTGAATGTCTCAATTTATTCTTGCCAAGAAGCTGTAATAAATTGCCAAGTACCTCCAATTAAGATGAATGGTTCATAGACACATCTGCATGTACTCTTCAAGTAACTTATTTCTCTTCATTGGCATGAATGAAGCCAACGTGTCTTAAGCCAAATCCTTTCCTATGTTTTAAGCTGTGCTTCCTTGAAGAGGTGTTAAGATCAGTAGTGCATCTTGCTGAAACCTTTCTTCTGCATACACATGTTCCTACATGCACCTGAATGACCTTTCACATCTCCCATCTCTGCAAGCATAGGCAATTGTTTAATCATTGCGTGCTCCCTAGCACTGCTCCCATGACTGACTGCGAGATACTTCTGTCTCATACTGCTTATTTGTGGTGCATCCTGAACCTGAGATGAATTCTCACCACAAATTTCTGGAGGACGGCTTGATAAAAGAACTTGTTTTTCCTAGGCAGAATACTTTCATAATACAATGGAAATAATGCTTTAAAGAGACAGAGTTACTGAAAAAATAAATGGTGAATGGCATTGAGTAATAGATATTCTGTGTGGGCTGGAGAAAGGAAGGAAGAAACTACCTCTATTAGTGACAGATACCTGACACCAAATGGGTTCTTCAGCCAGCAACAAGGAGTCTTTTTGTTTCTAATTCAAATATTCTGTTTTACAGCACAGTTGCTGCCCAAATCTCTTTGCACAGAGTGTGTTTGTAGAAACTCACAACAGAAGTTTCCCGTGGGTGGCGTTCTTCACAAACAGGTGAATTTTTGCAAGTTTAAAGTTGTTCATTCAAGACACTAGGAGAAAAGGCAGTGCTTAGTTATTAGGAAATCATTATGCTAACGGAGGCAGATGCTGAGATTGTGAAACCATAAAACTACCTTCTTATTGGTGACTTCTTCCTGTGCACTGAAGAAATACAGCTGTTGATTATCACTAATGAATTTTTCTTCAGTTTTTCACTGCAGTGTAAAGTGGGGAAGCTTAATTTTGTTGCATCCATTTCAGTGTTAATCTTACCTCGGCTTCCCCAGGGTTCCCCTGGCTGTCACTCCTGCTTGCTGGCAATCACCCTTTCACAATGTTAAGGATTCTATCTGGATCATTGAGCTTAATTGTGTATCTTCCATAAACTTTCCCACTCACATTTTCACTTGTTTTACATTTCTGACCTCCAGAACACCCTAAGGCAGCAAGTCACAGGTTGCAACTATGTGCTGTTTGAAAAGTCCTCACTGTTTGTTCTCAGCCTGCTGCCTGGTTACTCACTGGATGTCCCTAATATCGTGTTCAGTGAGAAGTATCAGAGAATTAATCTCTTCTTTGTAATACTAATATTTTATTGTATTTTCCCTCAGTTGTCCCTCAGCATCTTGGGTATTTACTTTGGCGTTCATTTTGGGCAATGAATTTCCTACCTTACAAATGTCTTCTCTCTTTTTTGTACTGTCAGAGTGGCTGGTTCATGAGGAACATGTGTTTAATTCTGGGTCTCGGGCTTTGTGTACCTATAGATAGCACAGTTACATCAAAACTTAGCTTGTCAGAGATGATAGTCATCACCAGTGTATCTAGAGATCTGGTCGAACCTCAGTGATGCACTGTGCATAGTAAAAATGCACAAAACTGTCTGTGTTCTCATTTACATGTATTCACTTATGTGGTTTTTTTCTCTTTATTTGATTTTTGTTTCCCAATATTTTGTTGAAGTTGGAGCAGGTTGTTTAGAGTCTGACCGTATTGCACTGCTTGATAAATTCTTTTCTCCTAGGTGTGTGTTTGCACTCTGCTTAGCTCGGGTACACAAAGCAGCATGCGTGTCCCAGAGACTTATTATACCTCTGGGTTCTCTCCCAACAAGCTACCTCTGCTGCTCCCTGCCACCTACAGTTTTGGGGTTTGCATGTGAGTCGTTGGTGACCAATTGTAAGCACAGTACTGTTTCACTTAGTTCAAACGAATTTTGACTGAGTGTTTTATTTCTTAGGCATGTGAAAGCTGGAACCGAACTCACATGGGATTATGGTTATGAAGCTGGAAGCATGCCAGACACAGAGATTGCCTGTCAGTGTGGAGTTCAGAAGTGCAGGAAAAAAACCTTATAGGCAAAGATTTCCTACTGTCAACACATCTTGTACCTGGAGGTTTATATGCTGTAAGTGACTGCTACACAGTGAACAGTACACTTAACTCTGTGGTGCTAATTACATTCAACTAAAATGCCTTTCACCTTGTCATTTTTTACATTTAAATGTCCCTTTTGTAGTTTACAGAATTATAACAGTTTGTCATTAAAACAGGCATCAGGCTTTTCCTGGATGATTTCTGTGCTCCCAGTCTTCCGCACCCCCCCTGCCCCTTTTCTCGGCAAGACGAGTTTGTGGTGCACTGGAAGAAGTCGTGCTTCTGTGCCCACTGTAGCAGAGACGTCACTGATGTAGCGCAACTGATGTTTTCTGTGCCCTTCCACAACGCTGAGTTAGTAAAACTCGGTTTTCTAAAGCTCATTGTAACTGCAAGTCTGCCTGTTCAAGGATTAAGAAATACTAATATATACCGAAACCTGACGGATCCAGAGGGACAGATAGTATTGAGCAGAGATGAGATTGATCAGAAGAGTTTCGCAGAGCCGTTCACGCGAGTTGGGCAAATCCTGCTGTTGCAGGAGAGAAATGATTGGTTTTTGGTGGGGGGCATCCCTCTGTGTTTTTGACACCCAGAAAAATCCTTCAAAAATCCCGTGTGCCTCATTTCAGTGCCATGTTGTGCTGTGTAGGACAGGTGGGCCACAGAAATCCTTGCCGTGTGGTTTGTGGGCAAGAGAGGAACAAGCTACGTTAGGTGACGATGCTGATACAGGAAGCAGCTCTGAAATGGAGCAAGGGATGGGGGTGCAGCTGTGCGGCTTCTGAATTTGTTGGAGCTTTGTGCAAAGAAGGTGTCTTGGACAGGCGATTTAGACCCCCGCTTGAAGAACCATGGCCAAAGGTAGCAGCACAAGGGGTTTTATTGAAGTAAGATGCTGTAAAAGTGAGATTTAACAGAGTTTGATGTCAACAAGGTTCACAAGGTTACCAATACAAAATCAAACTTCCTAGTGCACTCTAATACAAGGTTATGTGTGATACAGGTCACTTACCAGAGATCTGCAGTTGGCAAGGGGTCTCTCAGCCTCAAAGAGGAACCTGGTCCCAGCCCGAGGGGAGATCACCGCCATGCAGCCAGCTGCTTAGCAGGGAGAGCTCAAAGAAGGCTCACTCAGGCTGCCATGTTTCTGGAATAAAGTGTTCAAGTTACCTGTGATGGAAAAGGATTGTGTGAGACTGCTTGTACCCACAACCTTCTTTGTTCCTTGATAAATGAGTCTTGGAAGAACCAGCTGTTATTCATGTGTTAATTGCATGGTCAGGGTTCCAGTTTCCAAGCCCGTACGCATCAATGCTCACCGTGTCACACTGTTCCCATATGAGTTTTCAGGGAACAGGCTGAAACTAGAGCAGTTTTTGGTCCGGTTGGGGCTCAGGCCTTTGCTTCCTTTGGAGACTGAACCAAACTACCACGAGTTTGGTCAAGGAGTTGAGTTCATCCATCACAGGTGGATTTAGAGCCGGTCCTGCAGCTCACTTCACCTTCACTTCCTGAATTTGTGGGAGGTCATGCAGAATTGTCTGTTAGTATTTGCTTGGCCTTTAGCAGATTTTTGTCATTGGATTTCCTGTTTTACAGAGCCGAGAGAAGTACTGTTTGCAGCAGGTAGTGATGGTTTCAGACACTTGTGTATGGGAATGAAACATGTCTGGGAGAGAATGCCATGGAGTAGAGATTTTAAGCCTGCAGCAAGAACTAGTTCTCATCCCTGAGGCCCAAGGCGATGGATGACTTATGCCCACACAGCTTAGGGTTAGTTCTGTTCTAATTGGGTTGCAACTCTGCTGTGTAGTAGTGGACAAACATGGTATCTGTGGCCCTAAGCTGCTTGGTGCCATACCCCTTCAGAGGATCAGAGCCCCCCCACTCTTGCCCTGATCCATCCTCTTCCACACCTCTCACTGAGGAGCACCACCATGTTTGCACCAGTCAGTGTTCAGCTCGGTTGCTTCACTGAAGATCTGCCCCTACTCAGGGAATGTGGCTCAGGATAACCAAGCAGTGTAAAAGCCACCAGACACATGCCGAGCTGCGTGGCAAGCCCGCTGGTAATCCAGCACGGGTGTAAGCCTTTTTATGCAAGTGAGGATGCAGAAAATATCTGTCTCTAAGCTCGACTTGAATGTGGAAAAGCAGATGGCATGTCATTAAAGCATTAAGGGGGGGAAAAAGCAGATTTTACTGCAGTTGATTACATTACTCACATCAGTGGTAGGAGTTACAGTACTGAGCTGGTGAGGAAAGGCTGCAGAAAATGGATCTGATGTTTCAAAAGATGAAGTACTTGTTGTGTGTGATCTGCAGCTATCTGAGAGCCTGCTGTCAGCGTGGATTTTGCAGTGGGCATGTGTTTAAGGTGGGTCTTTCTGGCTGACTGTGTTTATCAGGTCTGCCTTCATGCTGGTGACTCTTCATTCTCCTCTGTGTGAGGACACACTACATACAGCGGTTGCAACCCAGCTTCTAGTCCCCTGCTGTCTGATGGTTTCACTGCTTGTGAATCTGACGTACCACACCAGAGATCTTAGCCTGTCCTCTTGCAAACTTACCTTACAAGGTATGTTTTCTGCCTGGGTTTGTAATTTTATTAGAATAAATAATGCTGCTGAAGGTGGCTGGCAAGTATCCTCTGCTGGTAACGGGTGTGCCGGTTCGATAGACACTGAGAGCGTGCTCGTCTCAGTTTCTTCTCTGCCCAGTTCCTCTGTTTTCCCTTACACAGCTCGGAGATGGGCGGACTTCTGGACACAGCGCCTCGTGCCACCCGTGCTTTAGCAGAGCGTCACGTAAAAGCACCGAGCACAAGCACCAATGGAAGAATAGGTGGCAACGTTCCAAGTGAAACACTCAAAAAAAAGCGCCTGTGGAATGACACGTTTGGGACTTGATGGCAGCCTGTCAGGGGTATCAAAAGAAGAGTGCCTGATGGAAATGAGTCGCATTGAGATGTGAAGCAGAACTTTGGAGGTGCTCCAAAAATCACGGTTTCTATTGACCTGCAGGGCAGCATAGGCTTTGCAACACTGACAGAGGACCGGCGTATTCAGGGGGAATTCTGAAACCAGTTCAGGCTTTTTCAGAGTGGTACCTTGTTCCTATGAAGTAGTGTGGTCCACCCATGCAGTGTGGGCATTACTGACTCTCTGACGGTGAGCAGGACTGTCCCACAGAGGGACGGAAGGGATGTGGGGCTGTATAAGGTCTCCATGACCTACAGGGAAATAAAGGCACCCAAGGAAAGCATACAAATGCAAAGACAGCTGGAGGTTACCTATGACGTAGGTATGAAAGAAACTGGACTGGAGCACATTATGTGGATTTTTGGTTGTGTTTTTTTTTTTTTTTTTTTGTCCAAAGTGTTACCGAGTGCTAATTTCCCACTCCACCTATTTCAGCAGAACGATGTGGCTCAGTAGAGCAGGGATTTGGAAGAAGAGATCACAAGGGACTTAGAGTTGGTTTTCCTCCACAGAGAATTATTTTTTCCGTGTTGAGAAACTGACTTGTGTAAGGAAAATGTTCCTAGTTTAAGACTTTGGCACCTGTGAGGGTGTTTGAATCCAGACGGCTCATTCAAGTACCATCTGGATAATAGATCTGGGAGTTGGTGTTGGATAGCAGCATCTGGCTAATAGATGCACTCTAATTGGGAGCCTGGGCACGGGACCTGACCTTAGCTCTAAAATGCCACATCTGGGCAGGCGCAGAGGGGTTTGAGAAACCAGCTGGATTAATGCCAGCAGTGCTGAAAAGCTGACACTGTTCTAGCTGGTGAAGGGAACTGATATTAAAATGCTCCACGCTGTATCTGGTGTGGCCTCCTGATGGGCCAGAACGTGCCTGTTAGGTTGCAGATGGTGAGCTGCATGGGGATGGGAATCTAGGGCTTGTTTAATGATCCCACACAATGCAGAGGAACTTCTTGGTTTCACTGGCACGGTTTTGCCTTAAGCCTTGTGTTGCTGATGATCAGAGAGCTTGCACAAACACCACGCCTGTGTGAGGTAGGAGGAGGAAATCCCTGGGTGGTGTGTGTTGTGGTGAGACCTGCGGAGCAACGAGCTTCTCCTGCTATCGCTCCCGCTTTGCAGTGAGCTGGTGGCACTTGGCATGCATTGGCACGGGCAGCTGGGAGGGAACTGTCAAGCTTAAGAACAAGTAAGCACCTGCCAAGGCCCGCAGCAGCGAGGAGCTGGCACGGTAGGAAGTCTTACATCCCTGGTCACCCGAGGACAAGCACTGGGACAGTCCGGTCCTTCCTGTGCTGAGTGAGCACCACCCATCTCTTGGATCTGCTGCTTGGTCAGATGTCACCCCTAGCCATCACATCAGATCCCCCCACCTGCCGGCCCGCTGTTGTGTGTAAGGGACACTGCAAGATGAAGGTATGCAATGGAAGGATGCAGGGTGTCCCCTTCCCCATGGGAAAATCCTTTGGACAACAGTTCGGCGACGGCGGGCACCAGGAGTGCCGGGCGTGGGTATCGAACCCGTAAATCCCAGCACCGCCACGCCCGAAGGCGCGGGGGA